GTATATCAAGTTACACATGGGGTACACATTGAGGGCTGTAAGCCGCAAGCAAAGCTTGCAAGAAAGGATGCACATAGTCAGAGATCAGTTGTGCTTCCGATACAGGAAATGTACTGTGCTCGTATGCAGCTGGGACACTTCATGAAAGATCAGTAAGGATGCACACCATCCGACATCGAATACTTACACTGCTTGCACTGTACGTAGAACAGCACGCTGACTACCATTTATCTTTCTCATCAGACGAAATATTTTATATCTCGCCTCATCGGTTTCAATTTTTTTTTGCACGTATCTCTACACAATGACATTAAAGGATTTCTACAAAAAACTGCTAGCAACATGTACATACTTTTATAATTTTCTTCAACTTCTTTTTAAGAAAGGAGTCAAACAGTTGTGGGTATTGATATATATGCTGCATATATTGATACAATTTTTGTTGTAGTTCTCTGGCAAAAAAATCTCCTGGTAAACTAAAGAGTTTTGTTTCCTTTCTTAAAATAAGTATATGTGATAATGCTCTACAGGCGGCATTTTTAGTTTAACTCTCTATAATATTAATGTTGATATACCTACAATATATAGTCTATATTTTCTTTAATGTGCAGCCCTCTACTCTCTCGAAGGCTTATGGCTACCTGCCGAAACTGATGAAACTTGACAGAGATATCATCTCCGTCGACTATCCAGTGAGTTAAGATACCACCGACTGTCTCTTGCTTAATACTAATACTCTTACAAATTAGCAACATAAAAACAATAAACAAAGCACTAGGAACCTTACCTTATTATATGTTCACCACCTATATGCGCTGTAAGTTCATCCTTTTCTTTAAAAGTCTTGTTACATGATGGGCAACCATGTACAACTTCCGCTGCTTTATATTTTTTGACATTTATTTCACTATATGCTACAGAGTTACTAGTCTGATGAGCCTTCGAACGTGATTGCAAGATTTTATGGTGCTTTCGTTGAGTATGTCGACGAACACTATAAAAGGAAGTAAAAACTTCATCACAGAACGCACAACTCTTTTTCACTATTTTTGTAATCATTCTAGAGAAAAAGGAAAAAAGAAAATATAAAAACCGTTCCAACTCAAGCTTCGCTACGCCAAGCATACTTTGAAACTGTACAACTCAATGTATGTGCAACAATAACAAACAAACTAGATTAGCCCAAAATATATGTTTATAAAACTGTACAACATAGAGCCTGTGAAACAATAACAAAAGGTGGCTCGTGTCTCCTAAGCAAATCGTCTCTTATAGGCACATAATTTATTTTTCAAAATACAGTTATCTCATCCTCCAAAGTCAACGCCATTAGAAGACTTAAAAGATTGCGAGGCCAAGGCCAAAGTTTTATTTATTGCATATATCGTTGAAAACATTGATTAAATATATTCTGCATATCAGATGCATGTGCATGCAGATACGTATATTCTTCTAACCTGTAGACTAAAATATGATAATGTCTTTGTAGGAAAAGGCACGGCGGCCTGTCAAATTTTTGACCTTCGACTAAAGGTTGCTTACTCGGTATATCAAAAAGGGTGATGTTTTTTTCATGCCCATGGCCGCCGATCAGCACCGGTTTCTGATAGGCAACAACGGCTATCCAGAAAATATCTGGTGTAATTCCCCACCAGTCATTTTTCTCAGTATCTGGTTCTGCCTGTAAGGCCTGTTCATGCTTCATGTACCTAAAAAAAGTTCAAAAATAAACTAACTGTTGCAATTTTTTTTATTTTTACCAATAACGACCAAAAAATTCCAAAAAGCCTTCATGAAAAGTATGTAAACATTTCAACAAAATATTTCTCACAACATGAGGAATTTTCTCTGCAATTATAACTGGAAAGTCCAACATGCCTTGAGCTAACGCATTATAAACACACCATCCATTCGGCACTGGGTCATATTTCCATATGATTTTGCTCTCCCTGTAATACTTATAGACCATATCTCTCTGACGAATCTCTGCTTCTGAATAAATTCTGCTCTGCGATAAACCGCAACTCGAGGATGCACTATCCATTACTTATCAAGAAAGCAAGAAAAAAAGAAGAAAAGAAAAGAATAAACGTTATTTATATGTGATATATATGCAATTTTAAACACAGGGATTATGTGTCGCGGACTTTCATTTATTTGATAAGCTTTACTTATTGTGGAGGTTCATACGTTCAGTTCCTTTTCGAATGCTCGCTATGGAATTACAGTGAGGGACAAAACTGTCCCAATGTTTTGCATTTTTGTGTTTCTGCCTCTATAACTCGCTTATTTTTGCTCCGATTAAAATAAAAATAGCATCATTCGAAAGAGCAACTAAAACTGTATAAAAAACAACCAACATAACACAAATAGAACGGACTTTATTTATTACAAAAACCGCTGAGAAAGCGATGGGTCCATTGGGACAGTTTTGTCCCTTAACCAAGTTTTGGTTGTATGCAAAGCTAATACTTTGTCCAACCTCCTTTGGCACTAATAACAGCTTTAACTCTCTTTGGCATGCTGTCTATTACCTTTAAAACTTCTTCTTTGGCGATTTTGTTGTACCATACATCCGTTATTCGTTCAAATAGTTCGCACATACCAGATGCAGGTGTTTCGTACTCATTAAGCCTTCTCTTAAGCAAAGCCCACATGTGTTCTATAGGGTTAAGGTCCGGAGACTGTGAAGGCCAGTCCATGACTTCATAAGGTACACTTTGAAGGTACTGCTTTACAGTTTTGGCGGTGTGTTTCGGGTCGTTATCATGTTGAAAGACCATTTGACTGAGTTCCATTTGGCATTCATTAGCCGCATGCTCCATCGATTTCTGGAGCTCGTCTTGCAAAATTTCGAGATAAAGATGCTGATCCATAGGTGGTTCTATCTTGCAAAGCCAGCCAACTCCTGCAGCAGATATGCAGCTCCACACCATAACATTTCCTCCTCCATGTTTCACGGTTTGCTTGATGTGGCGCTCTTCTAACGCTTGTCCATCCCTGATCCATGACCAAACGCGGCCGTCAGAGTTGAACCTGTTGATTTTCGTTTCATCAGACCATACTACACGTCTCCAGTCCGCTACCGTGTAGTGCTTGTACCTTTTAGCCCATTGTAAGCGCTTGCGTTTTTGTAGAGCTGTCAACTTAGGCTTTTCCACCTTCTCTATTGCTCCTAAACCTTGCTCGTGTAAAGCTCTACGGAC